GAATTGAACTTTAGCTCAGCAAAGCATAATCATGCAAATGATAACTAAAAAGTTAAACTTTTCTAATGGACATTCAAATGAGCTTGTGGACTTTAAAGAAACTCACACCGTATTCAACCGGAACAAAATGCTTGTGGACATAGAATTTGAGCTTGATCTATACATCAAGTGAACCAGATTGAACAAAGACATTGAACTTGAGTTTGATACTTGAATTCAAACGGATGATTTGTGAACAAGGCTTGGACATGGTTGAACTCAAAGGACAAGAATTTGAACCAAGTGCACTTGAAGTTAAACTTGAACTTGATATGATGTGAATAAATTGGACTCAAGTTCAAATGAACCGAATCATATTTGGACATCGAATACAAATACAAGCAAGAACACGCAACTCGACTACAAAGGAACTTATACATGAATCTAAAAGGGAACTACAATAAGCATGAGCCTAAGTTGAATTTGAACATAAAGGGACTATATTTGGAATGATAACCAAAATTCTTATGAAATGTTAAAGTACCATCATCCTAATTTGAATAAGAAAGATTTGAGTCATTCAAAACTTATGCAAGCAAGCAGGTGGAAGACAAGTTCTCAATGTGTAAGGGAGGTGAATGATGAAAATAAGTAACATCTATATCAACAGTGCAATTAACTATAATCAGAAGGATTCAAAATGTAGCTTGATGATAAGTTTTAACGATGCATGACCCGATTATTTTGTTCATCTTCAATGAATGCAACATACTCGATGTCAGAAGATCCACAACGCATACAACGCTTCATTCACAAGTAAAAGTAAAGGCATTCTTCGTATGCATAATGACTGACTTCCAAGATTGGGAGTTGATGACATAAATCTTATAATGAATTTGATGCTTTCATCCTTAAGCAATAACGGGGAGGTATGCAGATGAATGAAACAACCTACCGATTCATGCATATGAAAGGGTGGTGGCAATGCAAATTGTTATGAGTTATCATAAGAGATCTATTATATACACAAAGTATCATCCATAAAGAGATATAGAGATATGTCATAGAATGTAAATTCCTACTAGCAAGGGACTTGAACCTTATGCAATGAATGCAACGGCACTCCGACAATTAAGATCAATCCCCTTGAGGAAGGATACACTGATCCCTTACAAGTGAAAGAAGGTCGATCCGAGTCAAGTGCAACCACTATAAATTGTCGTAGAATGCTTGCTACGTAGAAGACATGTATTCTCTACAAACAAGGAGTTCGATACGTAGAAAATTCAAGCACTTGCAAGAAAAAGCAGGAGATTAGTTAGTGCACTATGACCCGCCTATAAAAATCAACAAATAGTGGACGACAGTCTACCTGTACGAAGTAGCGAACAATTCTATTCAGAAGCTGCTACGTCACGCCACCGGATCTGCAATCTCCGTACAAGCAGACAAAAAGTGTCTACAAATATTTTAAAATACCCCTACACGTGCACTATAAATTGTATACACATAGGTACACTAAAAGGGGTGAAAATAATTATAAAACCCGCATGGGCCCCGGCGAGCGTGTTATTGGTACACACGTGACGTCTAGGGATTCTGCGCGGGTTGACAAATGAATTCAGGTTTGAAACCGATCCTTCTATACGGGTCAATAGAAGTCGACAGGGTTCGAACCATTAAGTAAATATAAAGTTGCGGTGACCAGTATATTTGCTTTAAAACATCCATATTAGGCTTTCAAGACCTATAACAATGAGAATTCACTATTAAAAGGCACGAAGCCTACGAAACCCGATCTTCGATCAATAGCCTGGTCGAGTTGACAGGGTTCAATCAACAAAAGAGAAATAACCCTAAACACCCCGATGATGGCCGTGTTGAATGCAGATCTCAACCGGAGGGGTTCCCCAAATATTTTTCAAATATCTCACAAATATCCGAACTTTTATTTCAAATATTCCAAAGCTCCGCAAAAATCCAAAAAAAATCCCCAAAATCCAAAACTCCACAAAAAGCCCAAATTCTAAATATTTAAAATTTGAAATCCAACTATCAAACGCTTAAAGCAAAACCCATCCACCCTCCGCAACAGTCTGCCAGGGTGGACAAATTCAAATAAACTCTGGCTCACAAAGAGCTAAATTCCTAGTCGAAAATATCGCTAAGATCCATTCTCAAACAATCCCTTGCCAGTAAGGGCGTGGTACGTGTCCTCTAACCGGCAGTTTCGCCGCCAAATGGCACTGCAGGTAAACGGTTATGACCCGGGGCCCTCTGAACCGAGTGGTTTTGCCGCCAAATGGCACCACAGATAGCGGTTATGGCCAGAGCCAATACGCCCCTTAGTGGCGTTAAATCCTTGAGATATGAATCAATAGGATATGATCGATAGGGCACCAATACGCTCCTTAATGGCGTTAAATCCTTGAGATATGAATCAATAGGGTATGGTCGATAAGGCATAAAGCCCTCTATAAGCTAAGGTGGATTTAAATTTGTCCCCTTAGACAAACACCAACCCCGGTCTACAAGGTTTCCTTGGACGAAGCAACCCATGGCTGCCGACAAGGATCCTTCTGTCAGGTTGGGTCGACTACCTCCTCTGACTAAGTAGACCAGGGACCACGATGGCCCGGGATGACGGAACCATGGGATCTTGATCGGGTCCATCATCCATTCCCCCACCATCCGCTTTAAGTGCAAGATGGTGCAATTTCTACTTTTAAATATCAAAATCTTCAAATCTTCCAAGCTCAATTCTTCAATTTCCAAACTTCCAATCCTCAATACCCAACCCTACTGCTGCTACTATATGCCAGATAACACGTATTTCTATACGTATCTGATTGACGACTAGCCTTAATCGAAAGTTCTCTCTCGTAAGCGGGAGGGGTAATTAACTATAGGGGCTTGCGCCTATAGGAAACCAGAACTCAGATCATAAAGTCCTCACAAAATGAGGGCGAAATCTCTGGGTAGTGTCTTATCTACAAACCCATCTGCCTTCCAAAATTTACCTCGGAACTTAGTTCGTTAAACTCCCTCGCCAAATAAGAAAAGGCGGGCGGAGGCCGATGCCGAATTTTCGGAGCCCACAAACATTTAGTATACATTAGTTATCCCAGCACAGCATCAGAAATTTGATTTAGGCTTCGTTCCAAACGAAGCCTTAGTCAATTAACAATAGACTTCTTATGAGAACAAGATTTAAAAAAAAAAAATACATAGAAAATTTTTTGGAAGCAGTATTGCAAAACATCTGCTAAATGCAATGTTATGTGTGGAATCTGATTGTGTTGATCAATTTGATTATTCTGTTGTCTCGGATCTCAAAGTTTGTCGTGTTCATTGAGGGGAGTTTACCCCCTGCTTGGGTTTGGGTGTTTTGCACCAGAAATTTTTTTTTCCATACAACGCCCCGGTGCTACGTACCCAAGTGCATCGGTGTTGTGTTCCCGAGCGCCCTAGTGCTGAACGACATAGAGCATAGCACCACAGCGGTATAAATATGACGCCACACCATATCAAGACAGAGGTTTAAGTGCCGCAATGCACAAACTTACACCGCAGCGCTGCGAGACAGACTGGACGGTTTTCTTTCTCGTTTTTCTGAAGGGTTGCCGTCCCTTAGGGTTATTTTACTTGGCTTTCTCTTGTATTTTGGTAGTGTAGACATTGAGAATGGTGCATGTGAGAAGAGAAGAAAGGAGAGAGTGAGAGAGAAGAGAGATCTATACTAATTTCTCCCAATTTTCATAGTGGATTTATTGGTGTGGTGTTGCTCCGTAGTTTTTTCCCTATTTTGGGTTTTTTCAAGTTAAATCCTGGTGTCCTTTATTTTTCCGCTGCTTTTACTTTCTTGCTTGTTTCGTCATTGTGATGTTTACTCCTTATCATCCCCAACACACAATTCAATGAGTAAATAAGGCATATTTTGCCAAATTAGTATGACCATCATTCATTTCCATTAGATAAACTTATATTTCCAGTGTGAAATCTAAGCTTATCTACAAACAAATAAACATGATTTCATCATAAGATTCAAGTACAGTAATTACCTTCAGCATCACCATCATCAAAATCGTCAACACCATCCATATCCCCCATATTAGCTAACTTCTGCGAAATGGGGATAAAATGACCAACTAGTATAAACCTAAAAAATTAGTCACGGAAAAGAAATACAAAATTGTAATTACCGAGAAGTCCATTCCTTCAAATTCGTCATCATTTGGACCTGAAACAAGTCAAAAGTTTAGATCCTACAAACACATTAATAAGCTATCCAATAGACTCACATCATGCAATGGATCCATTAGCACAAATGTTAAGCCCTTGAACAAACGAGACAAGTTTTCAATCTACTAACAATTTAGCAGTTTTGCAAATATAATAAGACCAGAAATAGGTCTGGAAAATAATAATCAGAAAAGCAAAAGCACTAAAACAATTCAGACTTTTTCCTTCGTATTTACAAAAAAAAAAAACCAACATTTATCACTTATCAATTGTATACATAGGAGAAAATAATACAAATTGGTCACTTAGAATTGAAACTTCAGCGATAAGTCGTTAAAAAGAAAAGAAAAATATTGCTAAGTTTTGTTTTCAAAAGGAACACAAAACAGCTAAAAAAGAGCTTCGTTTGGGACGGCTTTCTTAGTTCTTACTGCTTCTTGAAGCAGCTTTTATATACAACAAATAAAATTTTTATACTAAAAAACAGCTTTAAGAAGCAATAAAAAAACCGTCCCAAACGAAGACTAAATTTTTGATCAATTTACCATAATAGATACAACTTGGCAAACATAAACTTCGTTACTATAGAATAAACTCAGTAGCTATCTATTACCAGATGCTTCAATGCCCTTACACTATTGTTGAATTACTCACAAGTCAGGTATAAAATGCATCAATTAGTAAGATAGACTTACTATTGAGTAATTTTATGTCAAAAAATAAATATAAGGCAAGAACAAACCATCATCTGCATCTACCCATTTATCCCAATCAACTTTTATGTAGTGAGGTAGTTTTCCATCACCACGCAATAGCTTCTTCCACCAACCATTCTCTGCTTTGTTTATGACACAAAAGATGCTCCTAACACCTGTGTTAAGTTTGCTTGTCTACAAAATGAAAAGAAGAATTACTATGAATGAAAAAGAAAATTGAGGTTCATTTAAAAATTTTTGCATGAAATAATCCTTACCTCTACATTAACTTTATCATAGAGCTCCAGTTTCAGCTCATAGAGAATATTTTCTGAACCAGCTATGCCAGAAAAGGTAAACACACCATCTGGTTCAAGGTTTATTTGAACATGTTTTGCATCAGCTAAAAGAATAGTTAGGTAGACCTTGTCAGACCTCTGAGCCCACTTGACTTCAGGATAACGACTAAAAAATTCAGGAAATTATATATTTGCTCATGTTAGGAGTATTTATACACATTTTCAAATGTAGAAAGGAAAATCAACTAATAATAAACTATATCTATTTAAAAACCATTTCGTGCCCTTTAAATTAATCTGCTCCAATTCTATGTAAGTATACATGGGTAAATAGGATCGCACTACAAGCTTGACCTGGACACATTTTTGTTGCCAATAATCTAAAAATTTTGAAAAGCTCTTTAATTTACATTCTCTATACCATACAATTAAAATCACTCAAGCTCTAAGAACATATGTTCTGTATTAACTGAGAAATTGCATGTCAAAACAAAGTTTATAGTGGCTTTTTCCGAGCTTTAAAATTACGCAATTGGGTATTGAGGCATTTTAGTTAGTGAGGCGGTAAGCCTCAAAATCAAAAAATTGTATAAAGTGAAAATAAAAGTTTAAAGTGATTTTTATATAATACACAATTTATTAAAGAATGATATAATAATTTTCTATTGAACTGTGATGTAAAAAATTAGCAAATATATGAAACAAAAAAATTACACAAGACTTAAAATGATAAGTGATAAATTATGTGAAATAAAATTGAAATCCAAATATCACAAGAACAAAATATAATATATAAAAATTTCTTTAAAATATCCTATAACATCATGTTCAACTCTAAATTTCTTCATTCCCAATTCCCTACAAATCCACATTTAATAACTCAAAATTATCTGTACTTTAATCATTGAGCGAATAATTATTTGAGTCGTCGTCATAACAAATTGATCACTTTCTTGCCTCATCCTATGAAATCCAATGCCTCCCCATCTACTTCATTTATTTCAGTCATTGTCCTATTTCAGAAATGTTTGCCATCAACACAAAGATGAGAGTAATACTCCAAAATTTTAGAGGAAGAGGTGATAGTGGTGTATGGCTTCCAAGTGATCCATTGTCCAAAAATTAATTTTTCTTAAATATCTTATAATCCAACGTAGGGAACAAACACTAACAACATTTATAATACCCATAATGAAATAACTCAATAAAAAACACCCTATTCACTTCAATATTACATTTAAATTGTCTATCCACTAATAGCTTGATCTCATTTCTATTATTGACCTTTCAAACATATAAAAACTTATAATTTTCACTATACCCTTGAAGTTTTCCCCATTTTCATTAAATTTATAGAAAATTAAAAATATCTAGTCTTCTTTTAATTTTTGTATAAACCAAGCATCTTATATTCTCATTCAAAGTTCCAAAATTCCATGGAGCAATTCTAATATACATAGTATACAAAGTCAACCCTTGCTTACTTTTCACCACAATAAAGTTAATTTGTGCCATGTAACTAGAGAGTGACATTCTAGCCAACCTTGCCTACTTATTATCATGAGCATGTTAAGTTGTGGTACATCAGCTATGGGCAATATACTGGCAAATCCTTATCTACTTACCACAATTGGGATAAACCCTAATGTGCCTAGAGAAACCCTAGTACTGGTAAAATTAAAATTTGTATTCATTTCATTAGTTCATATAATTTTTATGATTGGTTATTGACATAAAATAAATCTTCAACGTTTGTAAAATTAAAGAAGAAGAAGAAGAAATATTGGGATGACAGAACTACGTGAAGAAAATGTTATAGAAAAAAAATAACTATTAGATTAATAAACTGGGTAAAATCCTCCTCTCCAAATAAGAAAAAGGTGATAGAGGTTCTCTTGTGTTGGAAGAATGCTTCTGGCTATGTATTTGAACCTTTATTTTAACAATTTGAATATTCATTGGAATATGATTTTTTTAAAAAAAAAACTAACTTGAAAAAATATAATAAGTAAATATATATCACGAACAAAAGAAAAGGGAAATAATTTGGCGTGTCACAAAAATACTACAAAAAAAAATTATAGCAAATTAAACATTCCCTTCCCCTCATCTACTTAAAGCTGATTCATATTCAAAATAAGATTACTATGGGACATTAGTAGCACCACAATATAGTGTAAAATGTCACTTTCAGATTTACCTAATATTCTAAAAAGAAAGCCAGTTGTATTTTTACTTTAGCCATCTAGTGAGCGATAATAGCAACAAACAAAAAATTAAATCAAAAAGCATTTGCTTTTCTCATTGGCTTTGGGTTTCCAGTACCGACCAGTGATATAAAAACCATAATAACAACGCTATTGCAATAAATCATTAATAACACTGCTTTATAGACAACATATCAAATATGCACATCAAACAAAAGCATTATGCATGTAAATCCCCCAACGTCGGAGGATTTACATACAAACCACTTTATTTCATGTTATTTACATATATAACACCTAAAACTTTAATATTATATGCCTACCAGTCATAGAACAAATATGAGTATATGAAATGAAATATTAAAGGTTATAGGGTGGTATGGGTAATAAGAATGAAATATATTAGTGATATATTTGATATTAAAATTTTATATGAGTGGTATGAATGTAATATTAAAGTTTTGGATGTTAAATATGTAAATAGTATGAAATAAAGTGGTATGTACATAAAGCCCCCAACGTCAAAGTTCAAAAGGTTTGGTCCTCAAGTTTCTGAGCCTGAAACTAACTTTGAAAGCCCATACAAGTATACAACTACAAGTTGTTCATTTTGCCTTCCTGCTTCTCCACTCATGAATGATGAACCCGTGAAAGCTGGATATAAAATGTGGGAAATGGATAACTTTATTGAATGTTTCAAGGCGGAGGTTAGCATACTCATCTCCATGAAATCCAAAGATTTAAACGAACAAGATGCAAGTTTCATCAGATTATATTGAAGGTTGCCAAGTCAAATAATCTGATGAAAATTCACCAAAAACAACGTCATTATCTCTTCAGAAACTCCATAGGCAATCAAGATGTCACTTTTCTAACTTGTAATGCATGATGGGGAAAAAATAATGAACGAGACAAAGGAAAGAAATTGCCGGGACAAATAAAGGGCCGAAAACTCCTCAACGACCATTTTTTCTAAGAAACAAAAGGCAAAACCGAACAACATCAAACCGTAATAAGAACCAAAACCACAATCTTCATCTCAACCACAAAATTGAGAAAGACCAGTAGGTCAGTTAGTGATTGAACACAAATACAAGCGATGTAATGGAGGTAATGGAGAATCTAAACTTCAAAGTAGTTCACCTCATCTTAGCGTGGGGGACTAAAAATTTAAACCCTAAAGGGTACGAGCGACGAAAGAAATAGCAGCGCCTAACTTCTCTAACTTTCTCGCAGAGCTCCCAGAAGATACCAAGACGTTGGGGCAAATGAACCGCTCCGCCGCAAACGCACGTGTGGAACTAGTAGCACGTGAGAAGTGTTTTTTTCAGTGGGAGTTACACATGCCACACAATAATGCGGAACATTTTAAGCTTAAACTATTTCTTAGAATATCTTATCTAGTTTGTTATAAGTTTTTTTAGAATCTTCTATAACTAGTTTATATAGGTATGTATTGTAGTAGGATTGCTCATTGAATAAAGAATATTACATGTCTTTGAAGCTTTAAGCTTGAATTTATCCTTGTTCCCTAGAGTGGGATTAAATCCTTCAAGCAGGTCCGATTCTTCCGACGATCCAACTACATCAGTTTGGTATCAAAGCCTGGATCTTGTGAAGATCGATAGACTGCAGAAGAAGGTCGGTTGTCAACGATGCTCCAAGTCGAAGAATAAGATTGGCGGTCAACGACGATCGACGCCAAGGAAGGTGGGTTGTCGACAATGATTGAAGCCGTATTGACTTTTATCAAGCTCAAGTGAATGAATCACTTGATCGGATAGATAAAAACCTTTCAATCCATAAGGAGAATCTGAATGCCGTCGGCACCATACCGGCGTCTTCTTCTGCGCTCCTCTCGTCCGCTTCACGCGAACGCCATCTGTCCCGCAATTTTCCCACCGTCGTTAATGACTGCCCTCCGCTAGAGCTTCCCTTCCGGTGGAGGGATTCCCCTCCGTTCCAACACTTCGGTGACGGTTATGTCGCTTTTCGCGATCAGACTAGCTCCCATGCGGGACCCACGTCCTACGCTCCCAACTCTTTCTCTGACCCTCTGCGTGATTTCAGCCAGTCCGATTTCACCACTGCCAATCCGCCATTGCCGCTCGCTCTCAATCTGGCCATTTCGGCATCATCCCATTCCCTCCCCAATAAGCCTGATACTAACTCGCATCCCGAATCTTGCAGTTCCTCTCTGCATTTCGATCCATATCTGTCATTTGCTCCCGCATGCCGTCAAATAAGTTCCCGGAATCCAGAGCAAGTATCAAGAGACAATAAATTCAAGAGTGCCTTTGTATCATCTGATGAGAATGATGAGATTCGATCAAGAAAGAAAAGGTACTCTACCTCCCATGGATCAAACACCGATAACTATGCCTTTCAGAAGACAGAGAAAAATAAAGAGATTGATTGCACTTCGTGCCATGTTGTCGCTGATCAATCTCGAAACAGTAAACAAGAAGTTCTTGAAGAGAAGGAGGATGCATCAAAGGGAAAAGCTATGGAAGGTTTAAAGCAAGTATCCAAGAACAAGGCATCCATAACTGAAATGGCGTCTTTACATCTTGTTGAATATGTTTATACCTCTGGAGAAGAGCTTGAGCTTAATCTTCCCTTATTGAATGCAAGTTCTGATACTAGTTCTCAACTGTTGAGAACCTGCTTAGAATCACAAGAGACTGCCTAGAGGAAATCGAAAAAAAAAAAAAAAAAAACTTACCATGAGGATAAAGGTCGTGATGCTGGGACTGGAGATGTTGATTACATCCATCCAATGGATTCGGTGATCAATGCAACTCACATGAGGCTCATTTTATGGAGGTATGTAATGATCTTTATACCCTTAGCATTGCTGAAATAAATACAAATGGTATTGAAGTATGTGGCAAAGCCATTGGAAGTGGTATTGGGAACGTTTTCCCTGCATGTGTGAAAATGCCCCATCTAAATTCGACTGACAAAGCTGATCTTGTGCAATGCTCCCAAGATGCTCGACGTAATGTCAATGAAGGGTCAGATCCTAAATTTGTGCGGCCTGGTATTGTTGATATGGGAGCTGAGGAAGAAAAGTTGGAGCAGTTCTTGGCTGACATCGATGAGGAGGATCCATCGAATATGCAGATGACTGCTTCCGAGTCATTTGAGAACCAAGAAGGTAGCATGGTTGGACCTTCCAAGTTCATTGCAGAGCTGACAGAGGTGATTATTGAACTTCCTTCAGATAGTTTTGGAGCTTATTTCACATCAATATCGCTGCTCCTCGTAAGCACTGCATCATTAATCTCTTAGGCGCCAGAGAGCGCTTTGGTCTCCCACCTGCCTGGCTTCAAGAGAACTTTTCCGTCGAAGCATTACGCTGGGTATGTGACAATTGATAAGAACCATGGGAAGAATCTATACTACTACTTCGTGGAATATGAGCATAATCGAGAGAAAGACCCTTTGGTACTTTGGCTGAACGGGGACCCAGGCTGCTCTAGCATTGACGGCTTCGTCTATGAGCATGGTCCATTCAATTTCAAATCAGGAGGGACATTGGATTTTAAGGAGTCAAGTACTTTTCTTGATATAACTGACATGGTTCATTATGATACTACATACGAAGTAATGGGTTTGGCATTTCATCCAAATTTCACTAGTAATGGGTGTTTGACACAAACGACGAGTTGTTTTGGTAGATATCAAGGTGTTATTTCTGAATTCACTGTCAATGGCTTCTCATCGACAACGTCTTCAAAGGCAACATCTGCTTTCCCTTCTAAAGTAAAAAAGGATTTTCACCATGGGGCTTCCATATGCAGAACATCATGGCGGGCAAATTCTTTTTGGACCTGAAGATGGGTATTTATATTTTATGTTGGAAGATGGTGGGAATGGTGGAGATTCATCAACGAACAATCTTGTGAGCCTGTATCTGATATGAAAAATATTCAACCCAGGAGGAAATTTTTTTTTCTATGACTTCTACTCCTATCTCCTTACCGCTGATAAGCCTCGACGGAGTCGAGCTCTTTTGATGCAAGGGGAGAATGATGCGGAGCATTTTAAGCTTAAAGTTTTCCTTAGAATATGTTATATAATTTGTTATAAATTTTTCTATAATTTTCTATAACTAGTTTATATAGGTATGTATTGTAGTAGGATTGCTCATTGAATGAAGAATATTATTACATCTCTTTGAAGCTTTAAGCTTGAGTTTATCCTTGTTCCCTAGAGTGGGATTAAATCCTTCAAGCATGTCTGATTCTTTCGACAATCCAACTACATCACCCAAAACTATCAAATTTATATCTTTTACACTTAAATTTTATTATTTGCGTCATCCAGTAATCGATCTAGTCCAATGCTCATCGGAGCAAACAGGCGAGGGCACCAACGTGATCGGGAGAAGCTCGCAAGCACACAAAGAATGGGACCTCGAGTGGGGCAAATCTCACAGACATGTGGTGTGGCGGCAAGCTCACAAGCAAGTGGCAATAGGTTCACAAGCAAACGGGGCAGCAAGCACACAGGCAGGTAGCTACAGTGCTCAAAGGTAGGTGGGGACGATAAACTCGCATGTAAGATCATCAGGAGAAATTATTATATGTGAGTCCATATAGGAACAACTGTCTAAACTTTGAGTGTACATACATTATATACATAATGTACACAATATATGTCATATTTATATACACACACTTTGTACAATATATATACACTCATATGTCCGAACGATTGTTCATGTCCAGACTCCACTTAAAATAATTTCTCCATCAACAAGGGCGGAGCCAAAAAAAAATTTATAGGAGCAGAAATTAGTACTAGCCATTAATTATGTATTTGATACTAATAATTTAAACATATAGCTCAATTGTTAGACATTATTGGATTTAATGGTTATAATAAAAAAGGGCACAATTCATTAGGTGTTATTGAAGTTGTTTGGTGAAATTTAAATAATAGTAAGAAAGTGTTTAAATTTATATATCTAATTATTTATTTAATATTTTCATCATACATATAAATCTAATAATGTGCATAATTTTTAAAGATATAAACTATAAGAATTTTGATAAAATTACATAGAATAAGTCATCAGACCAAAAAAATCAAACCATCATCGAATGAGTAATTTATCATATTTTTACCAAGCTATTTGTTAAACAAAAAAAACGTGTGTTCAATAACATAAATGAACAAACAAGTCAGTGTTCAAACTTATTCATTTGTATGACAAGCTTTTTAAACTTTGTTCAAACTCTAAGCGAACAGAATTACTTATTTACATTTACTGCCATTATTGTATCTATTTAAGTATCGAATTACTGTAAACTGCATTCACTCAAATTCTTAATACAATTTCTCTTCCTCTGGTTTCTCTGTCGTCTCTCCTCTCTTCTTGCATTATCTTCTTCGCCACTTTCACAAACTTGTAAAATTATGTAAATAAACAACATAAGCGAGCATTATATGAATGAGTATGAAGTGTTTGTCGAGAGCACTTAAAAAAAAACCCTATTCATGCCTAACCAAGCTTGAGAACTTTGTGAAAAAATAATAAAAATAATAAAAATAATAAATAAATAAAAAAGATAAATCCTCAGCGCATAAATATTTTTCTTGAATAAAACCCTCCAAATAAAATGAAATAACTGTTCTTGGATTAAAAATAACATCTATTAGCACCTCAACATAAAAGAAGCTAAACATCATAAAAAAAACAAATGCAACTCAGTAAAAACAAAGAAGCCAAAGTATCAGAATCCACCCATTCATCAGCTAAGACTTCATTTGGGATGACTTTCTTAGTGCTTCTTCGAACAACTTTCTAGTACACAAATTTTAATTTTTATACCAAAAAGTTGATTCAAGAATCAGTAAGAAAGCCATCTCAAATAAAGCCTAAATTTTATACAAGTTTCTGAGTTGGTATTAGCTATGAATTATTTAGGCTTCATTTGGGACAGCTTTCGTACTGCTTCCTAAAACAACTTTTCAGTATAGAAAATTTTATACTGGAAAGCTATTTTAGAAAGGAACAAAAAAGCTGTCTCAAACGAAGCCTTAGTCAAGCATGAATATTTAAGTAAAATAATAAGATTGGTAGACAAAGTCAGTCCACCGATCATTGATTTGGTTATGAAGAATTTATCCACCCTCAAATTCTCCAGCTGTTGAAGACAACCTATAACTACAACTGTAAATTACATCACATATAGAGAAAAAAAAAGTGATTTTAGCTAAGCAAAAACATGAAAGTACTTTAAAATTTGATGATAAGCTTGTCTATATTCAAGACTTTGTCTATCTAGCTAGTTGTCCTCAGCACAGCTCTGCTGACTCTAATTTGTTTGAAATTGTTTCATGAGCTTCCATATGGCGATTCATAAGAGCTGCACCAAACTTTTAATATAAACAAACTATCATTATATATATAGAAATATGTGATTTAAAACAAGCAAAAACATTATCAACTTATATTACAGCAATAGAAGAACCATCTTTGCAGCCTTCAAGAACTTAAAAAAATGGGCTTTTTTATGTCTGTTATCTTCCATTTAACACGCCACTGAATACTTCACCGCTTCCTCCAGTAGATGCTTCCCATTCTATTGATGCCGAGAGAATCTGAGATAGCTTGACGATTGTCTCGCTTATTTCCGGTCGGTTCAGGGGGTCATCGCTGAGACACCAAGCAGCGATCTCGGCCATCTGTAACAGATTGTTAAATTGTTAATGAAATAGCAGGATATAATGACAGAAAGAAGCCATTTTTTAATTAGGCTTCGTTTGGACCAAACGACTTTGTTTTTGCTTCTTAAAGCAGCTTTTTAGGATAAAATTTTAATTTTTATACTAAAAAGTTACTTTATGAAGTAGTAAGAAAGTTGTCCCAAACAAAGGCTTAATTGGAGTCAGGCAAAGCTTTTACTAAGGTTATTTTGAACTTTTAGTAGAAATCTCAATACTTATATCACATGGAAAGCCTCTGTCCACCAATTTTTGTTAAAAGAAACAACTAAAGTTTCGTTTGGGATTGCATTCTTACTGTTTTTAGCTTTTTATTAAGAAAATTTTGTATTTAAAAGTTGCTTTAGAAAGTAATAAGAAAGTTGTTCCAAACGAAGACTAAGACTTCATTTGGAACGGCTTCATTTGGGACGGCTTTCTTACTGCTTCTTAAAGCAGCTTTCTAGTAAAAAATTTTATTGCTTTTATTAGAAAGCTGCTTTATGAATCAATAAGAAAGTCGTCCCAAACGAAGGCTTAAGTTGATGATAAGATCATATTGGTTCAAATTTTGTGAGTTTGAAAGATCAAATTGAACACCTTTAAAAATCTTGGAGTAAAATAAATACATATAAAAAATTTAGGAATCATTTACTCAAATTCAAACCTTAAAGACTGATTCCATGGGGAAGCTGCTCCTAAGGTTTCCATCAACGATTTCCTCTATTCCTCGCTCGGGATCTTCCCCAATAAAAACAGCTTTCATCTGTTTCGGAACAATATAAACAAAATAGTTTGTCAAAGTTTCTGTTTTGGAACAGAATTCATTGAGCTGAAATGCTGAATATTGCTCTATAACTTACAACTGGAACAAGTGATTTCATTTTTGTAGCTTCCTTACTATCACGAGTCAATGCACGGCGCCCTGTGATGAGCTCTGCAATGACTACCCCGAATGCGAACACATCTGTTTTGGTGGATGTCTGGAACTCCAGAAGTGACCTGCTCAGAATTACTCAGCAATTCAAACTTTAGAACTACAAAAAAACTTAGTAAATGCAGAATAATTTCTATGATATATTAGAAAAAAAAAAATGAGTGGTAGATCATGGTAGACTGCTGGCCTATAAGGGCATCTCCAACCGAAAATTTTATTTTCCACTCCAAAATGCAGTGTAACAAAAAAAATGGTGTGATTCATCTCCAATCCAACTCCATTTGTGTCCAGGTAATCTTCTTTTTCCTTCGCGTGTTTCTTTGGCAAATCTGGTAGACACAGAAAAATAACGCAGGTGAACAATGCGACGTCAATATTGACGTCGCACTATTCACCCGCAATCAAATACCGAAAGTTTTGCCGTTCGGCTGGAGCTCGGAGCTCAGAGCTCAGAGCGACCCCATTCATACATTTGGTATTTGGTTGGAGTAGGCCTAAGTAGATCATGTTATGACAGCAGCAAAACTTACTCTGGAGGGAGATAACCAGGAGTTCCAACCAACTTAGTAGCAATCAGGTCATCTTCGCTGCTACGTTCCACAAGCTTCGCAAGCCCAAAATCTCCGACCTGAAACAATAAAAGCATGAAGAAAAAGGCTTCAAGCACCATAGTACAGAGTCTGGAAGAGCTCTTAATTTAGGTTTCCTTTAGGACGTCTTTTTTGTTGCTTCTTAAAGTAATTTTTTAGTATAAATATTAAATATTAAAAAAAAAATAACTTTAAGAAATAATAAGAAAGCGGGCCCAAACCAAACCTTAATTTTCAAGTTACTATGGATTGATTACCTTTGCTCTTAGGCAATTATCCAGAAGAATGTTACTGGTCTTTATATCTCTGTGCACATAGCGAGATTTAGTGAAATCGTGAATATACTCGATCCCCCTTGCAGTGTCCAGTGCTATCTGAGCTCTTGCAGTCCATGATAGAGGCTGGTGCCCTGCTTGCCATTCATCAACTACTAAGTATTCCTTTCTGTAACTTCACAATTGCTTAAGCAAAGAAGATGAAGTTCTTCACCTTTTAGAAGTGGATCATGAAGATGATCGCTGAGCGAGCCATTCTGAAGAAACTCATACACAAGATACAAATGATCGTCTCCACTCGCAAAACCAATCAACTCTACCACATTTATGTGGTGCACTCTGCACAAGACCTTCAGCTCTGCAAAGAACTCTTTGGACATGTTTGACTTCATCTTCTTAATTGCAACCTCCTATAATCATATTAATCACTGTTAATTAACCAATAAGCAGAGATTAATGAATTTCTTAGTGCCCAAATTAATTACCTTGTCTCCAAGCATCCCATAATATACACTCCCAAATCCACCCACTCCAATCACTCTTGAACTATCGAAGTTAGCCGTGGCTCTCTCCACCTCCTCCAGGCTAAAAATCAACGGCCTATCCGACTCAAACGCCTTGTCTTTTACTCATAATTAGCACCAACAATCAGCAATGAGCAAAAGTAATTAGTGCCTAATGATTAATTAATTATCTTACTTACCCCCATCGAGATTGTATTGGCTTTCCAGCATGGCGAGTCCGGACTTGGCACTCACACTCCTCTTCATTTGTTTCTCTTGAAGCTTTCTGTGCGACTGTCTCCGCCATAGAAACAATAGAACCAACATGCAGAGCATCAAAAGAATCACCGGTATCGTTATCGCCAAAGCCAACAAAAACCCTAATCAATCATTTTATACGAATTTCAACGTAAATTAGAGTATAGTAGGCGTTATGTTTTATCTAAATGTAATTAAAGCTGAAATTCAATAGAGCTCACCTCGGCCGGAGCGCCGCCGCGCGGCGGTGCCCATCGGCACAAATAGCAGCCAACCAAGGTTCAAAAAATCCGGATTAGCGGCGAGCTGAGAGTTCATCTTAACCGTCTCGATTGTATCAGCCGAAAACATTTCAGCAATCTTCAATAGAGTATCGCCCGTCTCCACTGCATAGCTCACAATCATCGCCTCGCCGCCCGGTAAACACCCACACGGCAGATGCACCGTGATCAATTGCCCTGCTTGGAGCCCGGGATCTATATTCCATGCCAAGCCGCTGAATACACTAGAGGTGATATAGTCAGCCGTGTCGCCGGCGATAACGCGGTAATTGGTGTCGTAGAAGAGGGCGGTGGTGCCTTGGCTGGTGGCGGTGCAAGTGCAGGGTACTTGAAGGAGATAGTCGGTGATGCCGGTGGAGCGGGTGAGGTTGCGGGAGAGAGAGGCGTTGGCGGAGTAGATAGCGGCTACGGTGGAGACAGGGAGGTTTTGGGATTGGGCGTAGAGGAAGGAGTTGCAGGTGGGGGAGGAGGAGGGAGTTTTGCAGAGGATGGGGAACGATGAGTTTCCGGCTGAGGCGAGGGAGATGGAGGAGATTGAGAGGAGGAAGAGAAGGAAGGGGTGGCGATGGTGGAAAGGCATGGATTTGTTGTGATTGGGGGAGCGGAGGGGAGGGGAGGGAACGGGGGAGGAGAGAAAGAAGACGATCATGATCATTTATTTTTTGAAGCTAGAACATAGATAAGCCCGCCCGCCATGGCAGCTGAATTCTACTATGCTTAATTTACTGATTAATTATATACAGACTTCATTTTTATAGAAACAACGAAAAAATAATTTTATATAAGATATTTTAATCGCCACAATTCACAACGGCACAAAATTTTTAAATCCAGCTTGAAATCGATGGCATATTGGCATGCGCTAAGGACGTAGTTATCATCAGAAGGATGTTTTTTTCTAATAATTTTTACGCGCTACATAGCTCCATTAAGGTGCCATTTGTAAGCTTTGTTTTTTTTTTTTTTTATTAAATTGGATTATATTTTTAATGAAGTTTTAGGGGATTGGGCAATTTAACCATAAATTTTAATTATCAATTATGAAGATTATTTATCATTTATTTGCTTAAAAATTTTAATTATTTTTAGATGAAATTGGATGAAAGAGTAATTTATGCATTTAATATAGCCATTCATTCATCATTAAAAAATTGTCCTATCAATTGTAATTTTTAAATATTAAAACTTTTGAATTATTTGAATTATAAACTTTTAGAATTGATTTCTTTTATTATAAACCCATAGTCAAAACATAAAAATATTTGATTAGGGAGGCTTTTAGTTTTTTATTTTTTATTTTTATTTTTTATTAGGGAGGCTTTTAGTTATTAATTGAAGAGTCCAAATAAATCTTAGTATCCCATTATAAAGTATTGTGCCTGGAAGAGATGAATCAACCACCCAACCTGATATTCAAAATATCTTTTTTTTTGGAAATATTTCAAAATATCTTGATAGTAGGTTATAGATTATTTGTAATTGTACTTTTACAAAATTTATTTCAAAAATTAAAAATAGTAATTATTAATTACCACAAAATATGAAAAGAACTAATTCCAGGAAAATAAAAACAAGAACATAAATATTTACGTGGTTAGAGTTCGTGAAAACTCTATATCTACGGAGCAACTTCAATCATCTTCTTTTATTCAAAAATATGCAATTTGAATACAAGATTTGTATAGACAAAAAAGAAACTCAAATTTATGGGTTGAAGCGAATCGGGCAGGCTACGCGGGCGGAGAGGGTAGCCCTAGCCCGGGTCATTTCTGAGTTCTCGGGTCAACCCGAACCCGACCCAGTCGGGTTCAGGTCAACCCAAACACGAAATTTATGGGTTGAATTCTGATCAAATTTTTGGGTAGTGCCAAATATTGACACCCCTATTTACGGGATTGACTTTAGGGTCATCCAATTTTTTTTTAATCGACTTATATTTGGAACTAACATTTCAATTATACAAATTGGATGATGCTAAAGGTGCATTGATCCATTTCCAAATCGATATAAATCAAAATACTTGTAAATATAATTAGAATTTTCAACGCCGTTTGAGAGACAAAACTTTATCCAAATATTGAGTATTTATAATTAAAATGAGAGCCTTGATATGATAATCCATCAATCCTAATGCATATTACATTATGCACAAAGAAATAAAAACACTATCCAATAGAATAACCTCAGTTAAAATAACTATACTATAGTTAATACATCTCAATATTGTTAAATTGTAGAGCATAATTTATATCTTATGAACTAACAACTTACACATACTCAATTGGTCTACTTGCTGACTCTTTGTGGTTTTCTAGCTTTTTTTTATTGTATTGTTGGATCATAGGCTCATTAGATTTTGCTTCAAACATTATATTTTTAAAAAGCTCTTGATCCCTTAAGAACTTATAACTGTTTTCTTTATTTAACGGGGCCAGAAAAAACTTACACAGCCTTAACAAGCTGATCCAACATTCTTCATCCAAGAAGAATTTCAAGCATAACATCATGTGTGTGGGAACTGTAATGAGTGTTTTATACCAATCTGTGCACAGGCTATTATATTATCTTCAGCCTTTAAGCTAACCTCTAAAATGAGGTTAATGTTGCTTTCACATACAGAATAATTATTAAGGAAGAAGTTAACAATGTTCATTTGTGAAATGTTATAAGATTGCTTGAGAACTCCCCAATCACCTTATTTTAAAATCCAGAGCCAACCTGATCAAGCTTGGTAGATAAAGCATCGCAGAAAGACTTAGAGGTAGATTTGTCAGCCAAAAAATCAGGATCAAGTAGGCTCTTGCCCGCCATCGACAAAAAATGACGGGGAGAAACTAGCCAAAAGAAAACCCACACAAAAATTAAGAAGAAAACATAAAAGAAGATTTCCAAACTTTCCTGCGAGGAGAAGAGCCACCAGTGGCAACGAAAAGGATAGCGGAGAAGGAGGCTCCGATCGGGATGAAAACCCTAGCAGAGCGCATGACGGGAGGAGGGTGAAAAATCCAACTTCCCAAACTATAATAAGTGTTTTATACCAATATATGCATAGGCTATTAGTTTGGCTTTAGCCTTTAAGGTAACCTCCAAAATGAGGTTAATGTTGCTTTCACATACAAAATAATTGTTAAGTAAGAAGTTAACAATGTTCATTTGTGAAATGTTACAGAATTGCTTGAGAACTCCCCAATCACCTTATTTTCAGATCCAGAGCCACCCTGACCAAGTTTGGTAGCAGCAAGAAAGTTACCTGTAGCTTCAACAATGCTAGAAAAATGGATCAGTGAAAATTTCATATTTGTTCAAAAGTTTTCAGTTATTGGTGTTTGATACTTATATGTGATTTGCTTGTTCCTGATACATACATCAATAAGGAATGTGTCTATTTTTTTTTTCTTTTAAGCATATTATGGGATTCGAACACGAGGGAGATCGGGAGGAATTTTGCTTCCGTCGACCAACCGGCCTGCAACCCTATCTCGTCCAATTTTGAGAGAAATAATTTTCCATGAGCATCTTTTTTTCTGTTCCAGATTAAATAAACTATAGATGTAACTTATCTAATTCAAAAAATAATAATTCATGATCAACCTTTACAATGATCGTTTGTTAAATACTTTTTTCAATTATGATAAACGACTTCCCAGTACAATGAATTACCCATTACAACAAATAACTTCCTAATACAATTGACTACCCATTACACTTTGCATTACAATTAACTAGCTAATAGGAATAATGACGATGACATTTCACATTCCATAACTAGGCCTAGCTAGATACTTAACTATGTACCATTACGAACCTTGCTCTTGTACATAGTTAAGTATCTGGCTAGGCTCTTTCGGGTGTCCGTTGAAAGACGAAAAATCCAAAAAAAAGGCGTATCATATTTACTTCCACGGATGCGAGCAAGGTTCTCTCATTTTTTAACCCAGGATCCATTTACATTGATGTTAGTTTACTAGAAAATAGGATATTAAGGCATCAAATTATTTTGCATTTGTAATGCTTTGATTTTTGTTTCATGTATTAAGAAAATCATATAATTGTGGTTTGTATGTCTTCTTAAATGAAAAAAAAAAAAGTATAGCTCTCATATGTTATTCACTAAACATGCTAGGCCACCAAATCATGCAACAACATTATTAGTGAAATCATGTCACAAAATTCTTATTAGGCAATAAGTTTTAACTCTTCCCTTTACTCAATGCTTACTTTTATTTTGATATTATAAGCTACAATGTTACAAATGATGTTGCTTTGATTTTTTTGTCATCTCAAATATTATGCTTTGAGATATTTCTTAATTTTTATGTATGATTTATAAATTATAATGGCGTATTCGCGTCCTACCCGTATCCTTTATTATTAAGAATTGGCGTGTCCCGTATCCGTATCGTATCGCATCCGTCACCGTATCTGTATTAGTGCAACATAGTTTATGACCAGCAATATAAGGGGGGGCTGCCAATACCTCAAAGTTGTGGATGAATTTTGATAGTATATGGAGAGGCCAATGAAGTTGCACACCCCTTGAACATTGTAGGGGTGGGCTAGCTAAGTACCACTTGAATTTTGGAGGGATCGGCTAGTGCCACTCTTTGTTCAAAGACGAAGTAGCCTAGTTAGTGCACTTCAATGACTTCAAACATTTATTTTGATTTTTAGCACATAAGTGGTTGTCAGTGAGTGCAGATTATATCATATAGAGGCAACAAAGGTGTTTTCATTTGTAAACCAAAGATTTTAATAATGTTGTTTTTCACTATATTAATAGTATTTGTAATAAGGTGACAGATTACTGTATTTCATCAGTCACTTCTGATAATTTTTATTGGGATGTTTCTTCTTTCAATAGTCTTCCTCCGTCATTTGTTAATATGGTAAGTGAAGATTGTGATAGACTCTCTATCACTTAGATTTTTATGTACTTTTCATTTTTAGTTTTAATGCAATTTGCACTTTCTTAAAAAAAAAAAAAAATTGTTGACCAAACCAAGAAGTTGTCAAAAAAATTAAGAAGAGCCGGTAGAGGTAGGGTAGGAATAAGTCATTTTACAAAGAACTTGTTATGTCCCGCATGTATTTGAAAAACGACCTTCAAATTATCTTCCTATTGCAATCAAATTTGATGGTATCTAGATTTTAAGTTGATTTTGGAGAAAAATTGGCACAGTGTATAGCTTGTTTAGGAGTTCATCAAGGATTGGATTGTGATTTTTCTTTTTTTATGGTGATGTTGTTCAATACATGATAGTCTATGCAAAAAATGCCAGCTACTGATATCATTTTTACTGGAAGAATTAGGAATGAGAAGGGTTTGGTGCTGGGTCAAATTCATCTTGATCATAGGATTTCCCGCATCATTTGTTCAATTGCTACATTATGGTAGAAAGGGTATTGATAAGGTTGAATGCTTATCGACTTGGAGTCGAGATGTAGGATGACCTAGTGGTTATGGGTTCTTGAGAGTGGTAGTCCACTAGGATAAGCAAATAGTTGGGAGAATTCAGCAAGGATGTGATAGTTTGAGCTAATTTCCGTAGATGATAGGATGAAAACTTTAGGCGGGTTCTTGAAGATGAATGCCCCTTGATGAGTGGTGGGTCCTTTTTGGGAAAAGTTTTTTCGGCAAGTGTGGCTACGAGCCGAGGACAACCACATTTAATGAAGCAATAAGTGGATATTTTGTATGTGTATACTTCCTGTAGCTTTGACGTGGATATGTGTGGAAGGCAAATGGCCTTGACAGGGAAGAGTTGTTAAAAGAGTTAAGTCATCATAAGGTGAGTGCTTCTCCAAATAAAGATATGCATAGACGAATACTCAGGTCGAAATCATTTGGAACATATGCATCCTTAGTCAATATCATCAAGGACAATCTCTTATAAGACATACATAAAGCATAATCAGCACATCCAATAGTGTTGACTTTGAAGTTTCGTAATTAGATATTTGCGGGTATGATCATCTACAGAATGGATATGATACTTCTTAAAAAGAAGAAAGTAACATAAAGTCTTTTTTTTAGGCATTTAGGCCAATTAAGGCAGACTCACACACACATCGCATACACAAGGCTCGAACCCAAGACCTCTTTGTTGGTAGCCTAAGCTCCCAATCAACAGACCAAGATGAGTTGTGTACATAATGTCTTATGAAACAGGCTGCAAATTTGAGGAGCAATCAATACCATAAAACATAAAGCTCATGGAGAGGCTGCTTGATAAAGAGAAAGCGAGGAAGTATGCTAGATGAAGATATATGTGGAGAAGTAACATCTCCAGCTAATAAAGTGAGGCAGTCAACTTCTTAGCTATAATGCTGATAAGAGACTCATCATAAGTAATAACTAATCTCAACAAAAATGAAATTTATCATCTCTTATTTAATTTTGTTATTGAAGCACTATTAGAAAGCTTTTTGGTTGTATAACATTTTTTTTAATAATTCCGACACCATAAGTTCAATGGATTATAGATGTGATGTATGGCAATTCTAATGATTAGATTGATAATAAAATTTCGAAGAAAATTTATCGTTCATAATAAAGAGCTATAAAACAAATTATGATGTGAAAAATATTACCACAAACAACTCGCAAAGCAAAATTTATTGGAAGTTTCAGGAAAAGAATTAGCAAACAAGCCAAGCAAGGCAAATAGATTATGAGAGAGAGATCGGAGATTCATTAGATACAACAAGATCAAAGCTTTATTCGATATCTTTATTTACTAACTAAAAAAACTGATGAGAAGCTGGTCAGCCTTTATTCCCTCGATCTCCTTTTATTTGTGTGGTTTTCTCTTGATCATGTTATTGTGCTTGGTGAAGGTGGAGCAGATTGATCTCTGATGGGCGGTGCTCTAGGGTCGTCCTGCCTATTCTGCCTGTTCTCAACCGGCGGCGGCGGGTAATATGGCAGCCTCCGACCTCCATTGCTGCAGGCAAACCTTTCAAAACCTGCAGGAGCAAAAAGATCAATACTTTATCACCAGTAGAACTGAATAAGGCATTATAATGAAAAGCAGTGGCTTGGAGAAAGATTAGTTTACATAGTGGAGCAGAGTAGGAGGGGATGGAGAAGAAGCAGAGGAGGAGGAGGGAGATAGCCATGCTGAGGAAGACGAGCCTTTTCGCCATGGAGAATGCCATTTCTGGTGAGGAAATGCTGATCTTCTGTCTTCTGGGTGGTGATATTATGGGCAGAGGATCCACTTGGCGGGCCATTGGTTTGACGTTTTGGTCAGCTTGTTACAGAGGCATTAGCTGCGCTTGGTTGGAGGCTGGGGAGTCACGGGCTGAACCATTGACTTCTGATTTTTTATTTTTTATTTTTGTAGGTAGAGCTGCCCAAAAAGATATGAGGATAATTTTTATTTTTAACAGTTCTGAGAGAAGAAGTTTTGGATGAGTTCCTTTCAGATTCGGATATGTGATTTTGCTATTGAATCGTTTAAATTTTCTGAAAAAAAAAATGCAGAAAGGTGTGGCAGCATTGAACTAATAAATATTCATTAACTACATGATAATGGCGGTGAGTTAAGGTTATCAATTGGCATTTTTCCCCAAGCTCTCGAAAGTCAATATCACATGCATAAAAGTCCTTCAATGTTTTTTTTTTTTTTTTTTAAAAGAATGTTAGGGGCTTCGAATATGAGCCACCGTGAGGAATTACTTCGCCTCTACAGTTCTACCAATGAGCTGCACGCGTGAGCTCAGTCCTTCAATGCTTCAAATCCCATGTTTTTTGCTTACAATGTGTGCAATAGAAGCTACCACATGCTTAATGCATCAGCCACTTGATTCAGGTGTCCATATTTATACTCTAAGATGTGTTGGAAAGAAGAGAGGCACTCAACCCATGCAGCATATCTAACCTTTAATTTATGATTTGAAAGTAAAATGAACTCATTAGCCAATAAGTAATGACTTCAATGATTAAGAGCTCGCACAATTGCTAAACTCTTTTATCATAGGTGGAATTTTTTTCTTCTGGTGTCAGTGAGTTCTTCAATAAAAATGCAATGGGATGACCTCCTTGACTTAGCAATGCTCTAATTCAATGCTCTAATTCTCAAATTTTATGCATCACATCCAACTTAAAAAACTTGACTAAAATCAAACAGTGCTAGCACTGGGGTGGATGTTACTTGCTTGGGTAGATAATTGAAGCTTGCATCAGCATGATTTGTCCACTAAAATTCAGGGGTGTCAATATTGGACACTGCCTGAGAATCCGATCCGAAACTGACCAGGAAATTTCATGTTCGTGTTGACCCAAATCTGAAGCGGGTCAGGTTCAAGTTAGAGATTTCGACCCGTTTGCAAAAATTGGTCTGGTTTGGATTGACTTAGGAACCATCTCTATCGCATGATTCGCATCTGTTTGACCCCGGGTTGAGTCCAACACTTCGTGGTCACGTCCGTCACTTCATGGGATGCGACGTCGCATCCGTCACTTCGTCCGCCATTCGTCTAACGGTCTGAGAGCCACTGTCGCTCCTCTGCCGGCCTGTCGCTACCAAAAGGATCGGAAGTAGCGCCGAAGTAGTGGTGGCCAAATCAGAAGTAACTCCGCGTCATCCATCGCCATCCGCGTCCCATCCGTCGCCATCCGGGTCCTGATCGTTCGCTAGCCAAATGCCATCCTCGCTGAGTCATCGTCTCACTCCCATGCACCGTAACACTGGTCCTCCATCGATGCCTCACCCGGGTCCCTATCTTCGCATGATTCTTCTCGTAAATTCATGGCGGGTCAGGTTGACCCAAAGCGGGTCAGGTTCGGGTCGCAAAAATTGACCAATTTGCTAAAATGGGTCGGGTTGATCCGAATCCGAATAGTGTCGGGTCAGCTTCAGGTTCAACTTGAATCCAACTCGTAACCCAAAATTGACACCCCTAGAAAAATCATTCAGCTTTTAGGAGTTCTAATGTTCCATCAACAATATGATGATGATGGAGCTAAAATGTTAAATAAATATATGATGAAAAAACAACCAAGTCCCGGAACCTTATCGCAATAGTGACTTATTGTAGGGGTGGTCATTTCAAGATAGGTTCAATCCTGACCAGATCAATTTTTGTTCATCCTACTAAAATGCCGTAGCCAATAAAATAAAAAACTGGCACTTCTTCAAGTTGGCATAGTTTGATGCTTGTGGAGTACTTGAAAGATTTGTTAAAGGCTTTGCGTCACTGAGAGTGTGGTTGTACGCCATTATTACATCAAAGTAAACCTACACAAACTTATCATGAAAGGTTCAAAATTTGATTCCTAAAGCTTATAAATGTACCCGACGCATAGTGTAGGGAGGAGAGAGAGGAGGCAGAATTTAGAAGGAAAATCTACCTAAAGTTTTATTAAATTTTTTTTCTAAATATTTACATTACATAAGGCATCTATTTATAAAGCTTTACAATATTGTGATAACATACAATAATAACCTAATTAAAATTGGACCAACACCTCACATGTAGCAATATCAGTTGGTCTAGAGCCAACAAGCCGTATTCCGCCAACATTTGTGTTAGACACATTTTCACACATTCCAGTATATCTTTCATGGATCGTGCATTGGATATGAAAAATATTGTTTACCTTCTTTTTCATGCTTGGCATTCAAAATTCTTCCAATAACCAATAATTCGTAGTCATTCATGCAAAACCAGTTCACTAGTGCGATTCAAGACTCCTTCCAATATTATTCACAGTTTCTCCTCTTAGGTTATTTCTTCGACGAAGAAAACAACAAACCGATTTGAACAATTTGATATGATGTGGCCAAAATCGTGACACTTGATACATTTAAGGCCAGGGGTGTTCATGATTGAGCTATAGCAAATGTCCTACATTGCTGTCCGAAGAGGCGTTCTTCGGCCTATTAACATGACTATAATTCTTTTGTGGGGGCAATTCTTGATGAACTTCACTCTCTTATTGACAAGCACACTAAACTGTTTCTAATTTGGTGTTGTTATTTTTTGACTTTTAAAGCTAATTTCATCACATCATCTCAATTCTTGAGAAACACTGAACACTTTCTAATACATGAAACCAAATATATATACAAATCATCTCAATTTTTTTTAGTCCAAAACAACCAAATTCTCGATTACAAGTAATTATCAATTTATGTTTACAAGTTTTGTTACAAACTAAATACATTCCACATTGTGCAAATATTGTCTGCTTAGTTTAATGGTCTCATAGTTTTGTCTCATTAGTGTAACTTTCTAGTAGGCCACTCATCTCATATATGCTCCCATACGAGGACAATTAAGGCTTCGTTTGGGACGACTTTCTCACCGCTTCTTAAAGCAGCTTTTTAGCAAAAAAATTGAGGCTTCGTTTGAATCATTTATCCATCGGAAATTCCATCGATCCCTAATGATATTAGCAGATCTTTAGCTATTGCTAATGGATCTACCTCTTAATGATAGGATATTTTATTGTAGTGAAGATTCAGCAAATTTCAATCAAGCATAAGTAATCAATTCGATCATAATTTCCAGATAACTAATCTTTGAATTTTTGGCCATTTCTTGATGACATAATGAATTGGCTAGCCAAAAAATCAAGCATTATAAGATTGCTTATGATAAAGAGATCTCTAAATACAATAAGAAACTAGTGATGCAAGAGAGATTATATGCAACAAAATAAAAGCTTTGTTATTAAATACACACTCTCAATAGCTTTGTATTTGTGCAGAATTTCTCTTTTGGTTTGGGTTGGCTTTTTTATTGATTTTAAAAGTAGTTTTTAAATTAAAAATAATAATTTTTTATTAAAAAGTTGATTTAAAAAGTGTAAGATCCTTCTCTTGAGGAAGAAGCACTTACTACATGAGCTTCTTGAGGAGGAGGAGGAGGAGGAGGAGAGGGAAGAAGAAGAGAGATGTAGAAATTTTTTATTTCTCTTGGCTACTTATTGCAACTTAAAGAGCTCCTATATATAGACTCTTAAAGCTATACAAATAGCTACACTATTGGTCATATATGTCAAACAAGAAATCTAAACTAAAAGCAATCCTAAATCTAGGAACAAATATCCAACAAAAAGCAATAAAAAAGCCGCCCCACCCACTTAAGCTTGTTTGATACGACTTTATTGCTGTTTCTTAAAGTGATTTTTTAGTACAAAATTAAAATTTTTATGCGAGAAAATTGCTTTAAGAAGTAGTAAGAAAACCATCTCAAACGAAGCCTAAATGTGCATGGGGAATTTAGGTGGAGCGGCTCCAAGGGGTGGAGCTCGAGGGTCATCCTGCCGAATCGTCTTATTCGGATTTGGCGGCGGAGGGTAAGGCAGCCTCCGACCTTCAATATTGCAGCCGAACCTTCCAAAACCTGTAGTAGGAGCCAACAAAGTAAGACCAAATCTTCGATAGAATTGAATAAAGAAGCATTATAATGAAGCCTAGCGGCTTGGAGAAACAGAAACATACAGAATGGATCAGAGTAGGAGGGGGTGGTGAAGAAGCAGAGGAGGAGGAGGGTGATAGCCAGGCCGAGGAAGACGAGCTTTTTAACCGCGGAGACGGCCATTTCTCGCCGGAGAAGGACCATCTTTGGGCTTTCTTTGGTGTGGTTGGAGGCTCATAAAGAGTAGAGGAGAGGAGAGGAGAGGAGAGGATCCAATTGGCGGGCCATGGGTTTGACGTTTCGGTCATGTAAGTTACCGGAGCATTAACTGGCTTGGTTGGCGAGGACTGGTAAGTGATGACCCCGAGCGTTGACTTGGACTTTTTGAGCTTGTTTTTTCATTTTTCTTCACCCACTTAAGTCGCGTTTAATTTTTAAGCCGCAACTCAGTATTTTGGCTTCATTTGGAACCACTTTTTAATGATTTTCAAAGTAATTTTTTAGACAAAAATTTAAATTTGACTTTGTTTGTATTAGAAAGCTGTTTTAAATTTGGCTTCGTTTATATTAGAAAACTGTTTTAAGAACAATAAAAAAACAGTCTCAAATGAAACCATCGATCTTGAAGTTGCATATCAGTAATTGAAAAAATTAACTCAAATTTAACTTACCTGAATTGAAAATTAAGATCCTCTTATTGACAATCTACAATATTATAATTTATTAAATTTTCATCTCTAAAATTATGCTGAAAAAGAAGGTTGCAAGTTGCCCAAAATAGGTTGAAGGTTTAAAAAGAAAAAGGCTCCACGTTGCCTCTGATGATATATGGAGGAAAAAAACTACAAGGAGTAAAATATGTAGAAATTCTTATTCTAGCCTTGAACAGCAAGAACTCATTTGAGGAAGAAGATGAACAGTAAAAGCAAATTAATGATGTATATTTTCTTGTCTTTATCGGTTACAGAGTAGATCCCTAAATAGACATCTAAGAGGGACTTTACACGTGTGACCACGTTACTGGTTTACAAGAAATAGAGAGATAAAGGGAATTGCTGACTGTACATCTTATTTAAATACACTAACATCCCCCCTCAAACTGAGAATTAGAGAAAATGGTCAGTTTGGATCGCAGCAACTTGAAGCGAGGAGTGGATAACGGCTTTGTGAGGATGTCAGCTAGCTGATCTATCGTGCTGATGGATAGTAACCGAATGACTTTGTTCTGAATATGCTCATGAACAAACCGTTGATCAATTTCAATGTGCTTTGTGCGCGCATGAAAAACGGGATTATTAGCGAGAGCAATGGTTGAGGTGTTGTCGCAGAAGACGTCCACCGGTTCCGGATGATCAATACGAAAGTCGGCGAGCAGCTTTTTGAGCCAAATGGTGTCCGCCGTTGCTGCAGCTAATGCGCGATATTCAGATTCAGTTGATGAGCGGGACACAGTAGTTTGCTTCTTAACGGTCCAGGAAACAAGTGTGTCGCCCAAAAACGTGCAGAAGCCGGACGTTGATTTCCGGGTGACGGGATCCGATGCCCAGTCCGCATCGGAGTATGTCTTGAGCAGTAGAGTTGATTTTGTAATTGGCAGACCGAACTCGGTGGTCCCTTTGATGTATCGGATAAGCTTTTTCAACAAGGAGGTATGAGCTGAGGCTGGATCGTGCATATGCTGAGACAGAGCGTTGACGGCGTAGGCGATGTCTGGTCGTGTAAGAGTCAAATATTGGAGAGATCCGATCAGTTGGCGATAGACGGCTGGAGAAAAACAGGGAGCGGAAGTGGACAAATTGCCTGCAATTTTCGTTACACAGGGATTAGCAACTGAGTTGCAGTTTTGCAACTCAGCTAGTTCAACGATAGATTTCGCATAGAACGCTTGAGATAAAAAATACTTATCAGCGGTTGTATCAATTTTGATGCCTAGGAAGTGAGTCGGCGAACCAAGATTCTTCATGGTAAATTTAAGTTGTAATTGTTGAACGAGCTGTTGGATCGCTGA